GTTAAATCCATCCGAGGGGATGTGCCTTCACGGTGCGTTGCAGAGATTTATGACCGGAAACACAGCGAAGAGGAGACCGTGTGAACCGTCTAGGGTGACAATGCTGTGAAAGAAGAGGTGGGGGGAGAGATGGGTGAAGGGCTGTAAACATCATACACTGTATGGTTTCTTAAATTCTCCTCAAATAAAAGAATAGCAGCCGGTTTTGTCTTTCCTTCACTTCACCAGGAAGAGAAAACAGAGGAAACCAGCAGCTTCTGAGAACGATGGCTCACCAGGAACTGAAGGGATAATTGGAAAACACCTTTTGTGCGACTTTGTTTGTTTTTATTTCTGTGAATTCGGGGTAAAGAGGAAGCAAACAAAGCACCACTGTAATCCTTTCATGTACGCAGACGTGGAAAAGGAAAATAAAATTTGCTTTGTTGCATTAAATAATTTTTTTAAAACAAAAGTGGACACGAGTGTCTACATTTAAATTCATTAACTTCACTTTATGGAACTGGGTTTATTAAAAAATACCTGCTTCATTTGATTCATTTGAGTTGCTCACGTTGCGCACCCCGTCCCCGCTCCCTGCCATCAAAAAAACAACGTCTGAGATAAAGACCAAGAATACTGCCACAACTACAGACCGATCTCGGTGCTAAATGTGGACTATAAACTGTTTCCCTCTATCATAGCTAAAAGAATGGAATATTTAATGCAGGATTTAATTGATGAGGATCAAACTGGTTTTATTAAGGAAAGACAAACACAAGACAATATAAGGAGAACTCTTCATATCATAGATCATCTGCAAGGAAGAGGGGAGGAGGTATTGATGCGGAAAATGCCTTTGACAGTGTCAACTGGAACTTTTTGTATAAATTTTAGAAAAATTTGGATTTAACGAGACATTTGTAAATTGTATTAAATCAATTTATCAAGAGCCAACTGCAAGGATTAAAATAAATGGCAACTTGTCAGGAAGATTTACTGTGGAGAGAGGAACAAGGCAGGGATGCTGCCTGTCACRGAGTCTTTTATAGAGCCACTAGCTCCGATGATTAGACAGGAAGAGGAAATAAAAGGAGTGGAAATAGGAGGGGAAGAACATAAAATAGGGTTGTTTGCAGATGACATTTTGATTTATCTAAAAAACCCAAATGAAATGTTTTTAAAAACAGTAAGTTTGCTAGAGGATTATGGGAAACTCTCTGGATACAAAATTAATGTGGAAAAAACACAGATCCTAACAATAAATTACTCCCCGCAGCAGAAAATAAGAGATACCTACAAACTTAAGTGGAATGAAAAATTTATAAAATATTTGGGGGTAAACATAACCAAAACAATTGACAAACTCTACGATGCAAATTATTTAGAAATAAACCACAATATCAAGAAGGACTTGGGGCGATGGATGGACATCGGCCTGGATCTCAGCTCTAGAGTGGAGATAATTAAAATAAATATTTTACCACGACTGTTATACCTGRTTCAGTCCCTGCCACTGATTATTCCGCAAAAACAATTTGTAGAGTGGGACCGATGGATCTCAAGGTTTCTATGGAACGGGAAGAAACCCAGGGTCAGATATAAAACATCAGCTCCCAAAAGATAAAGGAGGTCTGGGTTTGCCAGCCCTAAAAGAATATTTCTGGGCCGCACAAATTAGACCTCTGCTATGTTGGTGCAATGATGATTATGTTTCAAAATGGAAAAATCTGGAAATAGGTAGAAAAGACATAGAAGTTAAAAGTTTATTAGCACATAAAATACTCTTAGGCAAACTAAGCAATGGGCTGGATTCAATAACTAAAACTACGAGTGAAATATGGAACACAGTAATTGATAATTACAAGTTAGAGAAGGAAACAAGGAGTTTGAGCTGGTTTGRTTGGGATCTGAGGTTTAAACCAGGTACTTATGATACAGGTTTCAAACAATGGGCAAATAAAGGTGTCACAGCAATGTGCAAATTGACTGAAAAGGGCAAACTGCTGAGTTTTAATAACTTAAAGGAAAAATATGAACTGGAGGATCAAGACCAGTATAGATATCTGCAAATAAAAGATTATTATGAGAAAGAGGTAAAAACCAACGTAAGCAAAATAATAGAGATATTTCATAAGGCCTATGAGGGAAATAAATTACGAGTTATTTCAGCACTGTACCAGGGACTGATGGAGGGCAGGAAGACATCTATGTACATTAAAGGAAAATGGGAAGACGAACTGAAGGAGCACATAAGCGAGGAGGAATGGTTTAAAACAGAGGAGCCCAAAGTGGGGCCCGCGGGCCAAATTTGGCCCACAAAGCCATTTGATTTGGCCCACCAACAGTTGCCAAAGTTACAAGGTTGTAACCTGTTAAAAACACAGTATTTCTATTGGTCAAATGACTTTATAAAAGGGCTGTGAAGGTAGTTTTCATTCATGGGGCTGACTTTATCTTTGATTTAATAGGATTAACATGAAACATGAAATGACAAGAAGACATATTTAGATCAGATTTAACCCCACARGTAGATTTTCAAACTTTATAAGGACACAAAAACTCATATTTTATCTAATTATGATATGTCCCATGAGCCTTTGCTACTTGAGCGTATGGCAGACTTTCTCCAAGTGCCCTGACTAAAACAAAAGAGGGCCATTGCATAGGTTAATCGTTAAAAATAAAGAACTTTACTTTAAAAAGTATTTGTATTTCATGTATTATATTACTGCATTTGGCCCGCAGCCCCCTATAGATTTTCATTTTGGCCCTCTCAAGGAAAATGTTTGGGCACCCCTGGTTTAAAATTTGTAAAACGCAGTGCACGGCCACCTGCTCCTGCATTTGGAGGGAATTTAATTGAAAAACATGATTAGATTTTTTATAACACCAAAGATCAGGACCAGGATGGTATCCAGTTCACAGCCATGCTGGAGACTCTGTGGCCAGACTGATGTAGACCACACGCACATATTCTGGTCTTGTCAAAAGCTAACCACAAACTGGCATAATGTTTGTCTTATTTTGAAAAACATATTGGGATATGGAATACCCAGATCATGTAAAACACTCTACCTGGCCTCACACACGATGTAATTCAAAAGGATGATGAATATCTGTTGAAAATATTACTTTCAGCAACAAGAAAAACCATCACAAAATTATGGTATAGACAAGACCCTCCTGCGGTGGAGCAGTGGCTGAGCATTGTGGAAGAGATCTTTGTAATGGAGAAAAATCACATATAGACTAAGATTGCAGGAGGACAAGTTTGTTGTTAAATGGGAAAAATAGAGCGACTATAGACGTAAGGAGAATGCCATTCTTGTATCCAGTTAAATATGGACACGGTTGTCTAACATTGTATATTGTATTGATGCCTCTCCACTGTATCTGTTCAGAAATGTTCAATAAAAAATAAGTATAAAAAAAAACAACGTCTAAATTGGTTGATCTGCAAAATTCTGAGATGTTCGTTTTAAAATTTCAAACACTAACAAACACAAACACCTTGCAGATGATGGAAAATGAATGTGCATTTAAACCGGCGCAGCAAACTGAGTTATAGTGCTTCCGGTGAGTTACTGGACCGGACAACAGTTTCTGCGTTTCCGGTGAGCGACTGAATCAGAACAGCAAGTTGATTTACTGCATTTCCAGTGAATTATTAAACCGGAAGAAGCAAGCTGCGTTTACTGAACCATTTATGTATGCATCTGCTGCTCGAATCTAGCCTAACCTAACCAAAAACCTGAGTTACCACTTTTCCAGTTAGTTATTAAACCGGAAGCAGCAAACTGAGTTACCTCCATTTCCGGGGAACTGTTGAACCAGAGCAGCAAGTTGAGGTTACCTGTGTTTCCAGTGAATTATTAAACCGGAAGCAGCAAGCTGAGTTATCAATAATCTATCCCAAACAGCTAAGACTGAACTGACGTAATGAAAATAATAAATGATTTGAAGTATGTCGTAATTACAAACCTCTACAAAGTAGGGCTGTGTATTGGCAAGAATTTGGCGATACGATACATATCATGACAGAGGGGTCACGATACGATATATCCCGATATATTGTGATACTATAAGCAATATATCGCGATATATTGTGATACTATAAACAATATATCGCGATATATTGCGATACTATAAGCAATATATCGCGATATATCGCGATTTTTTGTCCAAAAATTCTATTAAATAAAAACCTCTTACAGGGGAAAAAATGAAAAACCAAAATTCATTGTCTCAGAAAATTCTAATATTACAGAGACATATTTTGATACATTTAGCTGTGTTCTGCTTTGTATGTATTTTATTAGTTTCATATTTCTTATTTCATCCATGT